GCTGCCGCCCGGGCTCCCCGCCTTGTCCCGGCGGCCCCTAATGGCCTTTGTCTCTCCGCAGCGAGAGCCAGCGGCGCAGGGACGCGGGGACCATCTTGGGGCGAGCTCAGCCTCCTCCGCTGGCTCCGGGAGAGCCGGCAGTCCAGGAAACTAATCCTGCTGATTGTGTTCATCGCCTTGCTCCTGGACAACATGCTGCTTACGGTAGTCGGTAGGTAGAATGGGGTTCGGGTTTTTTTCCCCTCCCGGTTTATGCCAGAAACAATCTCCAGTGGCAGATGTACTCCCTGAGCGCATGATTAATGCTCTCAGACCAAACATTTTCAAGCACTGATTTTTTTTTTTTTTTTCCCCTGAACGCGAATGATATTCCGGGCGTTGCAAACACACTGCCATATACATTAAGGTTTCACTTTATTTCTATGGTAATTGCTGTATAAAGAATGGTATAAAAAGGTCTTCGTAATTCTTTTTTTTCTGCTGAACGCCACTAATACTTCACGGAACGACAGATAACAGTATTTTTAGCTCATCGTCGTTTTTTCTCCTGTGGTCACGCAACTGAAACAACAGGCTAGATAACATTGGAGATGCCTGTTTCCTTGCGATAGTTCCTCTTTCCCCCGCATTGGTCTTAAAATGATAGGTTAATAAGAAAACTGTCTAACTGGGTTTTAAGAAAAGCACTTCTATGAGTCAGTTTAATAAAATAATCCAAGTTTTGATGCAACTTTTACTGGCTTCAGTGGCATAGTGTCAGGATTTAGGAATCTGCTCAAATAAAATGCTTGAACATTTTTCACTGGTATTTTTAGAAGTCCTCATATTCAAATGTTTACATGAATTTAAAGAAAAGGGTTCAGAGAAACTAGTGGTTCATGGATGCACGCACACCCGCATGAATGCACATGCTTCTCTCGGAAATGAATCGGGCTGTGCAGAGACGTCTCTCAGACGATGCTGCAGTGTCAGCTTCTGAATTGGACTCCTGAATTTCTTGGGGGACCTCAGCTTAAAAGCTGATGCCACAATGTAGACCTTAGCTAAAAACATATATATTTTTAGCAGGTCGATTTTGGATTTTTTTTACATGAATGTACTTTCTTACAAAGTTATTAACATTTAATTACTTATTCAGTAATATGTATGCTAGAAGCCCTAGAAATTATTACAGTTTGCAGACTTCTTGAAAGAGTGGGCTTTTTCAAGAAGAGATGCAAGACCAGAAGGGTCATTCTGTCACTAGTGTTAAATTGAATGAACCCGACATCTGTTTTCACAAATTCTGAAATGCTAATTTCAGAGATAGATATTAATGCAATTAAATTGCAGCTAAGATCCTAAAGCATATAAAGAAGGTCCTTTCTGGATGATCTTTTCAATGTAAATGTTTAAAAAATAATGAGATGTAAAGACCAACACATTAGTTCTGATTACTTAATATAGGAGTGTTACGTTTTTTTCCCTCTTATGGCTGTTACTTACCAATATTTTTGTCGTTTATTTTAGAAATGTGTTTTATTACATTTTTTATATTTTGGTTTCATATTTTCACAATCTAATAAATGGATTTGTGCAGTCATGTGCAACAAAGAGACTCTGCAGACACGGGTTTTGATACTTCTTATATTTTGCTTTCTAGATGATGTCTGTATAGAAAACCTTATATTTATGAAAACTGGCACAAAATAAAGACAAATGTAAAATAACTTTTTGTTTTAAGCTGCCCTTCTGAGTTACGGGTGTGTTTTTTCCCAGGAGCAAACTTCTATTTCAGTTCTGTGTTTCCACCGTTCAAAATCCTTACTAATGTGCTCTGTAGGAAAGGCTTCTATTTCCTGATCAATGGCAAAGCAAACAAGAAAACTTGGTGATTCCATTTACAAATAACCTGATAGTAAGATGCCAATATATTCTATTTGTTTTTCCAGTGCCAATAATTCCCAGTTACCTTTACAGCATCAAACATGAGAAAAATGCCACAGAAATCCAGACTGCTAAGCCTAATGTAGTCTTAACAACGATGGACAATTTTCAGAGCATCTTCTCCTACTATGACAACTCAACGATGGTTACTGGAAACGAATCTGATAAGACACAACCCAGAGAGTTACATCATACTCAGACAGAACAAATGATAGTAAATGTGACTCCTTCCCCATCTGACTGCCCTAAGGAAGATAAGGACCTGCTGAATGAAAATGTTCAAGTCGGTCTCTTGTTTGCTTCAAAAGCAACAGTGCAGCTAATCACTAACCCCTTCATAGGACCGCTGACGAACAGGTATGTTATTTCTGCTACGTTACTCAGTTAGGATTTTATACTCATGCTTTAGTCCGGACTAGCATTTCAAACAAAGTATTTTTAATTCTGTTGTGGCCCTGGCTTACTGGCCTTCTCACTTTACCTGGAGGAATATTTTAGTGAAATACATTTGGTGAACACTTCTAAACACCGACATCCTTTCCAAAATAAATTGGTAAGCTGCACATGAGCCATCTGCTACGTTCAGTATCGTACACTTTTTCTCCAGCTCCTGAGACCTCAGGTTTTTATAGAAACTTTTGCTGAAATGGTGTTGAAACATCTTCAATTCAGTTGTATGGGGCCAAAAGACATTACAATGTAGTATTTACAAAGCACTGTGAATTGGTGATACATCTGTTACACCTACATTAGGCAAACATGATATTGAAACTGTAGGCAGGGTTCAGATCCCTCCCTTGCTGTCATGGAGATGCGCAGCTCTTGGTGTGATTTAGTATTCAGTGATTTGGGGTCGTGTGAGGTAAGAATCAGTGGGAAATTCGCGTGGACTTCAGTGAAAAATGAGCAAGTGTCAAACTTTGCTAATGTCATGTTCATCACCGAGTTCAGTGGATCACAGATTTCCATCAGTAGATGATCTAGCCCAGCCTTCAAACTGTCCTCTCTAAATTATTGCATATATATGATGTCTTGAATGAAATATGTTTAAATGGTACTTTATAGAAAATCTGTTTGAGCCAGGATCAAGGGTATAAGCACCGATATCAATGACTTACACCCCCCCACCCAAAATCCAAGCACTAATGATGTTTACATGGAGATTAAAAAGTATTTATAATATCATTTAAATGTTTTATGTTAATAATTAATTTGATTTTACTGTTAGCATTTTGTGTAACTGTTCCCCACAGAAGCAGCTGCAGTCCTCCTAAACAGAATAGGAGATCAGTCTCTGCAGGAAATAAACTCCAAATTGTATTTAGTCAGGTCACTAATTTTCATATTTCTTACTCAAGCTGTTTTTATAAAGAAAAATTTTTCCTTTCAGAAAATAATACGCAGCAGAAATTGTCCTTGTAAAACACTTTTGTTTAAGCAGTCAATGCCTTGCATATGTGACAACACCCAAAACAACCAACGCACTTTAATGCTAGATATTTCAGGTTTTGAAGCCAGAACCACCTTTCTTAGTTTTACAGCTTATATATATATATATTGTCTGAGTGTTTAATTTCAGTCTGATAGAAGAGTATCCAACTGAGGGCTAAGCGGCGGTTTGACTCACGGTGTTATGAATTCAAAACCTGTATTCAACCTGTGGAACTGATCTAAACACAAAAGCTTTAAATGAGATAGACGGTTTCGTTTCTCTCTCATTTCACCTTATCTCCTACTGCATACCACCTACACAGATATAAGTACGCCATTGCAAAATTACTTTTCCACAAATATTGCTGCAAGTTGAGGAGGAAAACAGATTTTGTTACCTGGATTTTCTGTATCGTTTTGTGAAGATATGATAGCTCATCCACAGGCAAAGTAACATAACGTCAAATAATATTTTCATAATAGTTCTTTAGGTATTCTTCTAGATTTTCCTAAATGTCTGAATTATTGCCCTATTGATATTTACTTTTCTCTGTTAGTATCATCATTTCCACAACCTGCCAAACCAGGAGAAAGGCAATAATACGCTCCATGTTGTCGACGACTTTTTCAATAGCGCAGTTACGTCATACTGTAGATATGATCTCCACTCTTTCTTTGGTAGACATCTGCCTACGTAAGAGGGTGCATGTCCCTGCCGATGCCTCTCCATGTGTCTGCACATCTCAGGACCGGAGTCTGGTGCTGCCTGTGCCAAGGCACGGGGTAACACCTCTCCCCTGGAGCCGGCTGCCAGGACATGCGTGATACATTCTTAGGTTTGGCAATGGGGCAGTAGATGTTCTTGTAGCATTTCCCTTTGCTGCTGTTAGGAGCAGGGTGGCAACACACCAGTGTGAACATTAGTGCTGTGAGCTGAGATTTCCTCCTGGAAACATCCTACAGTTTTTTTGCACGGGGCCGAGTGTGTGACTGCAGTCACAGGGGCAGGTTTGCAAGCTCAGTTGCCCAACAAGTGCGAGAAGAAAAATCAAGGAGCCCATCATCTCAGCATCCTGTGCGACAAACTCTTCTCTCGTACAGCAGAAATGAGTGCCTTAGTGGCAAAGTGGCCCTCAATTAGATTTAAGGATTACTGATTTTCTTTCATGTGTTATTTGTATCTTGGTACCAGTATCTGCCTTTCTTCTGAGAAATGTTTAGTGGGAAATATCAGTTAACACATTTATCAATTAACTGTAGAAGTCATTGGCAACATCCCCCTAAAGTGGACATTTCCTAATAGCAATGTATATGATCAGTTAAAAAGCAGTGTGAAAACTGTGATTATTATAAATGAAACAGAAAATATCTGAGTTATCATTATAAAGACTCTTCCTTACCACTGATAAGCTGTTCAGCGATAATTGTTACTGCTGTTATTACTTTTGCAAAATTTCAGCAAAATATCACAGCTTAAGGAGAATTGGTTGCTTAGTTCAAGATTAGTGTGCAGTTTGTTAAGATGCCCAGTAAGTTTCTTTTTCAAATAGGTAGCACACTGTGTTCGTGTTTTTTTATTTTTCAATCAAATACAGTTTTTCAGGAGTGGTTTAGATTTTTAATCGAGTATGGAGTTACTGGCTTTCAGTATGCACTGGCTTTGAGTGCTTGAGTTTGTACAGGATGCAACAGGATGTTCTATTCATATGAGTCTGTGCCAATTATGACTTTATTTTAGGTTTTCTGGAAGTTTTGTAGGCTGCTTTTCCCTTTTTCTATAACTACTGGAGGTGTAGATTTTTTAAAATAAATTTCAAAATTGGTGTCATTCAAGAAGTAAGTTCTGCTAAAAATATTTCTTATTTAAAGCCCAGCTCTTTCCGTGGAATACCAGACAAAACATACACCTGGCTTAGTGAACTGGTTTGCAGTTCATGAAACAACACAATTTACCCTTGGTCTAACAAAGTCCTAGCAAAGGAAACGCCAGGTGATGGCTTTGCCACAGGATGTCAACAACACACTTCCCACCATGGCACGGTTTCAGGGCAGAGCTGATAAGATGCTGTGGCTCAGATGCACATTATGTTTTTCCTTGTAGTGAAATTGGTAAGAAACTATACAGATAGCACAGCACTTGATACAGGGCACTTTGTGAGGAGTGTGCACTGGCAAGGGGAGATTGAAGGCTCTGCCTAATCCTTTCCAGTGAAGAGAACGGGCAAAAGGCTGCTGTGCCCTCTATAACTAACTGATTTGCTCCATTATTTTTTTCAAACTCTTACCAAGCTCTATGAATGAGGCTGTGAGCCCAGCTGTGCTAGCCCACAATCCACTAGAGCCAATGAATGTCTTCCCTGCCATGTCTCTCTCTCCCTTTATTTATCAGTCTGAAAAAACATGTCGTTTTAACCTTGTGCTTATCCATATTGTCCTCAAAAATAATTTAAAAATAAACAGATATTTTCGTCATCATTGTTACAGCAGCCTGACTACAGCTTTGAACTTCTTTGCATGAGAGACAGAGTGGCTAGGACCATGGTAACTTCATGACCAAGATACATGCAAAGAATGAGGCAGAGAAATAAATAGCATTTGTAACTACTTAGTTACAGTTCAGTTCCTATGTAAGCTTTCCTTTTAGGTTTTGGCAGGTGATTGAAATGACCAGTTCTGCAGGTTGGACAAAGCCCCTTTGCCTACCCTGTGCTACAGCACGGAGCATGAAGGTGGAGAGTGCATGGACCACACTCCCTGTCCCTGCTGACCCTGCACGTTCTTCCTTACCTTCACACACATTCAGCGGTTCATTGGTTCATAACCTCAAGGAAAATATTCTTCTTGCCATACGTCCTCCCCAGTCTTCACTGGCAGTGAAGAAGATAGCCAGACTGCCAACCAGGACAGACTTAACAAGGGGTGCTCACAGTCGTACCGGTGTAGCTGTATAACAAGGTTGAAATCAGTGGATTTGCAGCACTGTAATGAATGGATAATTAGGCTCTAATCCACAGCTCCTAACCTGGTCAGTGTAACCTTTATTCTACTGCTGCACAGGACCCATCAGTTGGTTGTCTTATTGTAGGGTAACCTTGTTAATGGGTATAATCCACTTCCAAACAGTCCTGCTATCTGGGGCCAACGTGGGACTGAAACGGAGCAATTTAGGCGTTCTCCATCAGTGGCAGCCTTTCCTCTCCCTCCTTCAACTAAAAACTCCGGCTTTTTCAGAGGTCAGAAATACTTGTAGGAAGCACTTTTAGCTGCAGGTAGCCTTAGTGAAACATGCTAGACTCTGCTTCAGATTCTCTTGGAGGGTTTTGAAAGGAGTGCCCAAGAAAATCACATGCTTGAGCGTGGTAATGAGAAAAAAGAAGAGAAGACAGGCTGTAATATTCTTTTGTGTTGCACACATGCAGAGGAACAAAATGTAGAGATAACTGTGAAGGAGTATGCCATGTCATGGCCAAGAAGTAGAAACTGCATATTCGCAGGTTTCACATGGCAAGAACATGAATGGCCCAGGACCAAGGGACAGAATCACTGAATAGTTGGCTGTTACAGGTAGCGCCTCTCCTTTTTGTGATTATTTGTGTTATACAGTGTAATTGTTCAGCAAAAATTCCCAGTCTGTGCTCTCTAATATCTGTTGGACAGATCAGGGAATGCAGCTGCAGATTAGACATTTGTGGTAGCACAACTGCCAACTAATTAGTGCTGCTATTTCAGGAGGAGGCAGGGTTTGCTAAGATTATTCAGGAAAGGACAATCTGCATATCTAACTAAATGTCAGCTGGATGTGGGTAAGACTGTCCCCTGAGCAAGAGCAACCATGACTTCTAGAAGTTCAGCAGTCTCATGCAGGGGCAGCACACCAGAATCATGCATCTCCAAATTGTGGGAGAAGCTCCAGGCAATTTTTAGCTTTTCAGAGGATTATAATGACTTGTTTAATTCAGCACAAATGCATGGCCTGTGCTGACCTGTATAGCTTTGCATCATCTTGTATGATGGATCACTGGCAATGCAGACTTCGGCTGAAATGACTAGCTGTGCCCACACAGAGTCTAGTTCTGAAATGATTAATTTCTGTGTGGAGGAAAAGGTATGTGTTAGACCTCAGTATGTGTGATAAAGCATCGTGGTCTGCTGGGTAGCAAGGGTAGGACTGAGTTCTGCTCTAGTTCTGCCCTCGTCACCCTCTGCTATGTATTGCTTCACACGTTGCTGTGACCCTGTTTGTCCAACATAAAGGAAGAATAATATCTGTGACTGCAAAAATTAAGAAAAATGCTTGAACAGTGTTTCATTGAGCATTAAAAGTGACTTCCAAAATACTTGTTTTCTTACAGCCTTCAAGCACCAGAAACTTTCCAAGTGTAGGAAGCCTATTGGAAGAATTGAAATCTGCTTTAGCTTGACAGAGTATCATTTAGAACTAGTTTGATATCCCTTCTCTTTGTTTAACTCATTAATGTTTATGGAAGATCTCACAGCTCATGTCTATGATCTAGCGATGGAAACGTGAATGTGGGAGCCAATCTGGATGGCATTTGTCTTCATGCAAATAACTGAATTTTAATTCAGTGCACTTGTAGCAGAAGCAAATTGCTGTCTCATGGCCCCTGTGTCAGTCTAAGAATTGCTTGATTTCTGTACTGAAATGAGACTTCTTCCCCACAGTGTCCATCCTAGATACCTCTGGGATGGCCTTGACAGACACAACCCTACTTTACTTTGCAATGGAAGAAGGCGTAAGGACATTCAACTTTTGCTTTCATACCACAGAGAAAGATGATATAGCTCACCAACAGCAGTAGCCATACCTGCAAGGTTTTTTTTTATCTGTACTGCTATCAGTGCTTTCTTTAATTGAAAAATTCAAAATCAAAGCACTTATGGTCAAACTCTCTGTGGCCTGTTCTACCTGAGCCCACTGGGAAGGGAAGTGCCCACTTCAGTTCTGAGGCAGGCAAGAAGTTGGTAACAGGTAATTTTTTATTTCCTCATGTACATAGAAACACCAGTGGCGATTAGCATCCCATTGTATAATACCTACTATACACACAGCAAGAGAAGAGACAGGCTTAGAAAAATCATCCACTTGAAATAAGGCAGACAAAAAAAGGTAATATTACTCTCTTACAGGCCAGGTATCCAGGTGCTGAGAGATTAAAATGATTATCATAAGGCCACAGAGGACGTCTGTGATAGTGCCAGGGATTTAACTTGCTTTGGAGATACCAGTCTGGTTAAGTACCACAGGAGTAACTAGTCTTTTCTGGATATTTGTAACACCCACTTACAAATTTCAACTAGAAGAATCTGCGCACTACGTTTTTGTCATATTTTAACGTAGTGATGATGTTTAAGGCAAAATTGTTCTTTATTAGAGATTTCTGTGGTGTGTAGAAATGTGCATGCTAGATTTCTTTCATTCACAAAACTCAAACAAATGTTACAATGAGACATATAATGAGCATCGCGCCCTGCACTTCAGAGAGTTTTCCATTTTCCAGGGTCCTTAATTGTATAAAAACTGTATTAACAAAAAAGCAAAGCTCAGAATAATTATTTTGGCTTACCTATGTCACGACTGCTATTATTAAAATTAAAAGGACCATTATAGACTCTTCCATTATTTGATTGACCGACTTCAGCCAAAACTGCCACTATAAATGCTCAATGCTGTCAAATCATTGGAAGCTGAAGTCAATCAGTACTCCTTTGAAAAGCATCATCCATTTTTGAAGAATGTCTTTGCAAATGCATTTGAGATGCGCAATCCTACAAAAAAAGAAGCCGTGAATAAAGTGTGCTGAACAGAATACACAGACTGTCTTCAGAGCTACCTGGGTAGTGTTTTTGATTCTAGGGTAGATTTTTAATGGCGTGAAAAATAGTATATTGTGAATGTTTTGTTGAAACTTCAGTTTTAGCTGCTCAAAAAATGTATTTGTTTTCCAGACAGAAAATCTTTTATTTCCTGGAAACTTGAAAATACTTATAGCAACCAGGCATTTCTACAGGCTGTTTAGAGTCCTAATGAAGAAGCGGGCTGATGAAGGAAGCTTTGATCAGCTCCATTTTTACTCCTAAACCCATGGAAAGCAAAAATATTATTTTCAGGCTCTTTGGGACTCTTCCAGTGCTCCTGGCTGAGGCAGAACTTCCAACAAAGCTGATGACAAATTTTTCCAGTAAAAAAGCCATTGGTTTGACTGTGTCTCATTATACTCATTGTCTCAATGAGGATGGAAACAGATAAGCATTGAATCACTACTGGGATATTTCAAAGTTCAGCAAGCTCAGACAAATCTTCCCTTTTCATATCCTTGGCAACCTCATGGAGGCCCAAAGGGGCTTTATTGGGAACAATTACGATGGAACGAGAACAGGGCAATCAGATTCTAATGAGAGGAGGATCTGTTCCAGGGATTTCAGATACAAAGTCTGCTGTGCCAGATGAAAAGCCATTTGTAACATGGACAAATTTGATCATGTGGTCCACAATAAATAGTTCAAAGCCTACCAAGGAACTACAGGTTGGGTTTTTGCGGTGTGTGCACTCATGTGAGTAAGTCTAATTCAAAATGTCAGTGAGGCAATCCCAGAAATGTGAATGTTCATTTTGTTTTCCAGAATAGGCTACCAGATTCCACTGTTTGCTGGCTTCTGCATCATGTTTGTGTCAACAATCAGTAAGTGTCCACATCTTATTTGGTCTGGCCCAGATGCAACTTCTAAATAAATGATCTATAATAATTATCACTAGGAATTATTCTTGTTGATGTAGAGGGACTGATTTCCAAGGAAAATTTAAGGGTGGCTGCTCCATGTGGATGGTGGTGCTGATGAGATTTGTCAAGTATGCTTTTATGAACGTGCTCTAAGGAATTCACCACCTTCCATCCCACCTCGGTGGGTCTCTTCCTTAGCTGAATCTTTCTCCCAGATTCTTGTAATCTGGAGCAGTGCTCAGACAGTTTTAAACAGATAGCATGGGAGGGCTATCAGCCATGAGAGGGCTATTTTGCAGGGTCCTTAACAACTAGCTATCGTAGGGACTTATCAAAAGATCATGAGGCTGCAGTGGCTCATGAGTAGAATATGAGTCAACAGTATCATAGCGTCGCTAAACATCGCTGTGGGATGTGCAAACAGGAGCACAGCCTGCAAGTCAGCTGAGATAATTTGTCTGCTCTAAATGGCACTGATAAGGCCTCAGCTGGTATTTTATGTTCGGTTTTGGTGTGGCCCTTGAAGTTGTGGCCCAGATGGAAAGAGTACAGGGAAGAACGTCAAGGATCATTAGAAGCCTGTGAGGAATGGTGAAATAACCTGGTTTGCTTCAGAAGGCAGATGTAAAACATATCAGAGTCTATGACAAAAAGGAAGGGAACAAACAGTTTTCCATGTCCACTGTACGTAAGAGAAGGAATAACAGCTTAAAACTGTATCATCAAGGGGACTGGGGTGCTTGAGAAGATTACCTGGTCTTAGAGTCACTGACAACTCTGCATTTTAGGAACATGTAACACAAATTTTGATCGGGATGGAGATAAGAGTAATGAGCCTAATTCATAGCATAGGGGAGTACTGTTGATCTGCTGACATCCTTCCTTCTTTCATTTTTCTTGGTTTTTCTCTGTCCACGTGGGTCGGGATTTTTGTAAGACCTGGTGAAAAGCCTGAGAGGCACAATGCCACAGAACAGGTGGGAGAACTGCATGTGGATCTTGTGTTTAGTTGGTGCATAACAGCTTCCCCCAGCTATAACCTATCTGGCAAAATTCCTTAGGTGGCCAACAGATAAGAGCTGAAAAAAGCTTTTAAAAACTCACTGTAGATTTAATGACACTGACCATGACACAGGCTTTACAAGCAGAGATGTGCTTGGGTTTCTGGGACACTCCTACTTTCCAGTGTTGTGGATGGGGAATTTAGCTGGACTGATGAGTGCAGCATCCAGGGGCTCTGTCCCAAAAGGCAGAGTGGAGCCCAGGATAAAATCTCTTGGGGAGAGATAGAGAGGCACCTCCACTGGTGCAATTTCTCTGGTGGTGTGCTGTTGGGAAGATTAGGAACTTCCTACAGCCCTTAAATGGGTGGAGCTGGCTTCCCTGCACCTTCAGCCAGCTGTGCTGCACAGCATCTATTGCAGAGCTGGCAACACCAGGGTAAAACCTCTCTCCACCCATTTGCTTATTGGAGGAAACAGCACGTGCATGCATGCAGGTACGTCTGTGTTAAATCCTGCTTTCCCTGAATGCCTGAAGCTTCAGACTAGGCAGCCTTAAATGAAGCAGCGTGAAGAGGCAAAGCTGGAAAGAAAGGTCTTATTACTCCTTCTGTGTGCAGCTGAATCAGAGCAGGATGTAATCAAATCCTAAGTAATTAGTTAAAACTGCTTGTGCACTTGCATTCGGTGTTACCAGGAGGCTTAGACACCTGAGAGCAATTCAACACTGACACATCTAAATGCAATAAGGGAAAATAATGCAGTTAGCATTGAAAGTGGCACAAGTCACTGTAAACACTTGACTAAATTGCATGAAGTTTTTGTGATCGTTTCAAGAAATCTAACTTTTTAACCTAGTTAGAGTTAACCTAATTTTAAAAATTTACCTGTTTTTTCTGTAGTGTTTGCCTTCTCAGGAAGCTACACATTACTGTTTATTGCCAGGTCCCTTCAAGGAGTGGGTTCCTCTTGTTCTTCTGTGGCAGGTAAGAGAAGAGATGAGAGAGTAAAATACAGGTCACTGATTCTGTAATTTTTAGTAATTTTCTAAATTGTATTTTGTCTGCACTTACAATAATTAATACAAAAGTATTAAATTAAATCAGTTTCACTTTTTTCCTCTCCCTTTCATATAAAGTACTCAAAAGCAAATGTCTTTTCAGACTTTCTTGGTATTTGGGTTGCAGTAAGGTAGAGCACTAAATGAACTGTGCTCTCCCTGGGATTTCTGCATGTGCGTCTTCAACATTGTACATTCCTTTTTAACCATTTTAAAGGTCATCAGGAACTTATGTTGGTACTTATTATAGTAGGGATAGCAGCTCTGACTGTTACTGAAATTTCTGTTATAAAATGTCGTTTTCAAGGATTTACCATGCTGTCTGCCAGTTTGGACTCAGGTTACCTGTACCAGATTTCCAATACAAGGTTGTAAGTTTTAAATGAGTAGGTGAAATGGAGTATGGGTTTTCAGCCCAAATTGTTCAACCATTACTGAGACTGGAGAAAATATCATTTGTTAATGTTAGAATGTTTCACACTCTTTCCTTTGAAAAATTTCCCATGATGGCAGCAGGAATATGAATTTGGCTTGGGAGGGGAGGTGAAGAGAGCTTTTTTGTCAAGAATGTGTCTTTTGGCTTCCTCAGGAAAATTCTCCCTTCCAAGTTGGACTGGTCTATAAGCAGGGTTCACATACGCTCCATAGAAACTTAACAAGAATTTGGCAGCCGGATTCTTTCTAGGTTCCTTTTGCAGGGATTTTGCTCCAGCCCACATTTGGGCAGTGCTGCTTGGGGCGGCTGGGGAGATACAATGCCTCAGACTGAGCTTTCGAACTGAGAGCAAGAAGCACCTTATGCTTAAGATGGGTTTGAAGCTGTGCAACAAGCACTAGTTAAGCAGAGAGATTTAAGCCTGGATGAGTAGTGGGAAAAGTGGGGATGTGGTTAAGGGAGCAGGCAGGGGCTGGGATGAGGAGCCAGGGATGGGGAAGGCAAAGACAAGCAGGAGGGGTAGAGACGAGAAAATCCATCTTTTTTCTTTGTACAAGTTATGGTTACAAGTCAAGCTTTCCAAAGGGAAGTAGTGCCAGAATCAAAATGATTGTTCAGCTTTAACTCAGTCCCTGTGCACATATGTACTTTGAGATACAGTTCTTAGATGAGTGTATGACTCTTTTTTTCACAGACAACCTGCAAAGTAGAGCAGAAAAGGCCAAGAGACCATCTAGTCCACCCCCTTCCTGAAGGCAGGATCAGCTTTGTATCTGTCATTCCTCGTGCATACTTGACAGGCATATTCTCAGAAGCCTTCAGAAACGCCCTCAGCATCTAGCTTTGTGCTTAAGTACCTTTACTGTCAGGAAGGTTTTTTCTGATGTCTCATCTAAAGCCTCCTTACTCTCATGTAAACCTATTTCTGCTTCCCATACTTGAGAGAACACGAAGAACAGTTTCTTTTCTTTATCTTTGTGGCTCTTTTCCATGTTGCAAGACTCTTATCACATCTCACTTCGGTTTCCTCCTCTCTGGTTTTAAATTGAAAGTCCTGCAGTTGTCCCTCACAGTTATTTTTATAAGCCTTTGCTCATCCTCATTGCTCTTTTCTGGATAGTGTCTAGTCACCCCCACCTTTCTTCCTGTGCTGCACCAAAACCAGACCCAGCACACAGAAGCTCGGACTCCTTACAAGGGCCAACGGCAATGAAAATCACTTCACGTATCTCACAGGCAAAGGAATTTTTCTGTAGTATTGCTGCCAATCAGTCGTTTACCACCCCTGCATTTGTGCATGTAATCATTCCTACCTAAATGTAAAACTTTGTGTTATCTTTGTATTGCCTCCTATTTTTTTCCAGAGTATTTCCCCAAATCTCACAAATTCATTGTGAATTCTGATATCGTTCTCTAACTTGCTCTTCAGCTGTTCATGCAAACAATTTGATGTCATCCACAATTTTCAATAAGCATGTTAATCCACACAGGACCTCTGCTCTTTTGATGCACGTGATGGATGGTATTCACTTAAAATGATCAATCATGCAATATTTTGTTTTCTTTTTCTGTGTAGCTGTGGGCCTTATTTACTGAGTCCTACTTAAACCTTGATTTGAAAACAGAATTATTAATTTCTATGAGGACTCTTCTGCAGCGTTTATATCTACTGCGTCCGAGTGCTTCACAAAAACACGAATTAGGCTTCGTGTTTCCTTTTGTGAAATGAAGGTTTATCATCAAATGCAGAAGCGAGGCACGTGAAGATAAAGGTCAAAAGAATCATTTAATTTTGGATGTTGAACTTGAAATACTCATTTTCAAAGTAATCAGCTCTGCATAATACCTCATGCCCAGAGCACAGTTAGCACTGACCACGGTTACAGCTGGGAGTGGTCACCAGACCTTTGTGTCAAGCACGCGGAGTATAAATAACAGATAGTGAATACTTGTCAAAAGCTTTGTTTCTGCTAGTTGAAAAGCATCATCTAAAAACTCTGAGACAAAGACAGGGACAAAGAATCTAGCAAATCAGGGCATCATTAAATTACCTGAGTAATACTGTACAATAAAACATGGTCTTGGAGACCATTTAAATTGCCAAATCCCCTTTTGCTTCAAAGTGAGTTCTATGGGGAGGGAATATACATATTTATATTTTTTTATATATTTATGTACATACAGATACCTGCTGTCGTCTCTGTAAAATGTTTAGTAGGGCTGGCAAATGATGACCATAAACTGTGGTACACAGATGCCTAATTTTGTGTTGTGCTTTTTTCTTTTTTTTTTTTAATTTAGGGATGGGTATGCTCGCCAGTGTATATACAGATGATGAAGAGAGAGGCAACGCAATGGGAATTGCACTAGGAGGCCTTGCTATGGGAGTATTAGGTCAGTGAGTTGGAGGCTCTGCTGGCAAGAGAAACCACCCCCAGCCTTCCCAAAGCATGTACTTGTGATCTATGAAAGCATCGGAAGAGTCTCATCGAGCGTAATGTTATCATGCCGTCTCCAGATTAGATTCATGGTGCATGTTAAGAATAGTTTTTCCCACAGCAGCACATTTCTTATGCGGATACATGTCAGGCAATAATCTCTGAGATGTTTGGGTTTTGTTTACATGGAAGAGTATTTTGGGGAGTGAAGAATATGGTTATTGTCATGATCAATGAGCTTTATGAGGATTTTTAAATCGAGCTTTTTGGTCACCGAATGCCAATAGCAGGATGCCCAACCGCTTGCAGAGGGCGTTTGTTCAGAGTCAGAGATGCGGCTTCACAACTGTGTCCTTTCTTTCTCCCTGGCAGTGGGCCCACCTTTTGGGAGCGTCATGTATGAGTTTGTGGGGAAGAGTTCTCCTTTCCTGGTGCTGGCAGCACTAGCTCTGTTAGATGGAGGTCAGTAAATACGAAAAGTCAATAGCACCATGTAGCACATCCCTTTCATATTACCACCATCTAACCCCCTTCTTGAAGAAATGTTACAGTATTGATTTCTTTTTGCAGCTGTTCAATTATTTGTTCTGCAGCCATCAAGAGCACAAGCAGAAGTAAGTATTAAGGTAAAACACTCTAGGCGATGGATGACGCTTTGCCTTTCCTAATCCCAAGCTTTTGTTTCATAGAGTCAGAAGGGGACACCGTTACTGACACTTTTGAAGGACCCGTATATCATTATTGCAGCAGGTACCAGATCCCTTTTTTTTTTCTTTAAACCAACCGCTGGTGTTATACCTGGCATCCTGGAATGCCTCAGGCTGAGCTGGTTTAACAGTATTGTCATTTGCTGGTTTCATTTACATAAAGCTCAAAGAAAAAGATAATCTGTTGGTAATACAGGATGAATATACCAGTAGAAACATAACAGGCAGAAAGTTTGAAATATAGGCGTCTTTCCAGCTGAGAGGACACTAATGACTTGCAGTTGCTTGCTAAGGCAATGAGATGTGGCCATGAAACTTTCTATGAGGCAAGTGGATAGAGCCAAGGCTTTCCGAGGGAGGGATTGCCAGCACGTCGCAGGCAGGTGTAGGGAATAACACTGAACTTTGTTTCCGTTTGAGGAGAGAGTGAGTTTGGTTTCTCGAGCATGGATTGTATTTCAGAAAAGGTCTGGGGTGAATGGTGAATGGTGTTTGGTATTACATGTATCGTTTGTCTAGTGAGTCTTTCTGTCTCAAGGGAAGTTTGCCTTTTCGCGTTGCATTTTGTTGAATGTTTATTCTGAAGTCTGTAATTAAGCCTGGCCCTTTTTCATGTTCATAAAATACCTGAAAAGAGATCGTAATTTTTACAGTTTCATTCCTTAATCCTAATCTGCCTGTCCAAGAAAACAATTCTTCCAGGCATTTTTTGTGTTCGCTGTTTCTTGGTGGTCTTAGGGAATGACCATTACCCTAACTCTTTGACTAGACACTTGGTCAAGCTGTGACTAAAGTTATACAAATGCTTTTGCTTGAGAAATTCTTGGAGCGTTAAAAGACCTTTTCATAGAATAAAAGAATTTGAGGGAAAAGAGTAGCAAAGACAGTACCTGTCATAAGAGATCAGATCTATCATTTGTCTAATTCAGTACCTTGTATCTAACAGTGCTCAAAGCAGGAAAAGAGTAGCAAAGACAGTACCTGTCATAAGAGATCAGATCTATTATTCAAATAAATTAGTACCTTGTGTCTAACAGTGCTTAAAGCAGGTGCTGCAAGGTGAGGTTCATTCAGCGTATAAAGTAGATTTCTGGAGAATAATGTAATCCCTCCCAAGGTCTAATCTGTGACAGGACTTGGTTTAAACCACAAAATATGACCAGGGGACTGGTTTCAAGGAGTACTTTGCTTGGCTAAGACTTAGCCGCTCATGCCAAGCTAGTCTTAGCCAAGGAAGAGAAAAGGTACCAAAGACCATGGATCCCACTATTTTGACCATCTCCCATGTCTGCTAAGAGCAGGGATGGAGTTTGTTCCCATTTTCTAACATATTTGCATGGCATTCAATTACTGCAGCTTTTCTGTTCTCTGGAGCTGTTTCAGCTGATGTTTCGGGGCTCTGTAAAGCAGGGCTGCGCGGTCTCAGAGCCCCAAAGTGGTGAAGAAGACTCAGGGATGGGTAGCCTGGAATCACGGCAGTGTGTATCAAAGAGACCTTACTTTTAGTGCCCTGGGGGTTTTTTGCCTCTTGCTTCCCTGCATGTGCCTGGAGGCACTGCCAGTGCCTCCTGCTTCCCCTTCCCATCTTTGATCCAGTGCAGCTGGACGCAACAGGAGGCAGGGAAAGGAAGGATGTACAGAGGGGTAGAAACAGAAAGACCCTCTCTGTTCCGATCCCTCCTGCTCTCGCCAGCTGCTCTGGGTGACCTGTCCTGCTCCCACTGGGCGTCAGCACCCAGGATATGAGAAAGTCCCTCCCGTGGGTTAGCGGTAGAGTTAGGTACAGCACCCGGGGTCTCTGCCTCCCGGGGCAGAGACTGCCTAGCGCTTTGACAGTACGGATGATGCTGATGTTCTCTAACCTCAGCCTCTTCTCCTCCTGCTTTATTTCCCCTGCAGACCAAATTTAGTTTTGTCAGAGCTGAATGCCAAATACCAACTATAAATCCAGCCTTTTATCTGGCCTATGAGTGCACATCAGTCCAAATGCAGATTTCTTGATGCACCAGGAATACACTGCTTAAATGTTAATTGCTTCAGTTCTGAAGCTGTTGCTTTTTTACAGTGAAAAGGGTCTGAAGGTTTCATTTGCTCTCCCTTACCCCAAGGAGTTGGATTATTTTCCTTGCTTTATTTTCTAAGATGGGAACTTTTGATCCTGATACTAACAGGGAAGGTTAGGTAAGCAGTTGGTCGGGATGGCAGTTAGCTCCGTGCTCTGACACCTTGGGGCAATCAGTCAAGGCACCATGCCACATTTCTCCATATCTAAGACAGGATAATATGTCTTCTGCTTCACAAGGATGCTGTGAATGTAGGTGTCCCACACTGTGTACGATCTTCAGATACAATGATTAGAGAGGAGAAGGTTAAAAGTCCCATTGGGTTTGCACTGCTCAGGGAGATGAGAGGTTTTGAATGACTTTTAAGGCAGTTAACTACCTCATTAAAAAACTGACTACATCTCTAGTGGGCTGACTTGTTAACTACAAGTAAAAGCCAGGGACATTTTAGGCGTGCTGCAGACGGGCTAACAGTTTCAGTGTTTCTTGCACTCTTGATCTGGGTACACTAATTTCATGGTATAAATTCAATCTCCTGAGCGTGCATCATACACTTGAGTCATAATTGTTTGCATTCTCAAAGTACAAACACTTTCTGACCAATTTGGCTTATCTGTAGCACAATATTACTCTTTAACACAAGGTGTCTTGAACTCAAGCATGGAGTTCCTCTCTCTCCTTTCTGAAAGCGTAACTTTTTCCCTTGATAAACCCATGTTGCCTGTGAATTAATAATGTTGACTGTCACGACAGACAAGAGGCCAGTGCTCTCATTCACTCAGTGTATATTGCAGTCCCTATGGCCAGTCCTACTGTCTGGTCACCCTCGGTGCCAGCAATAGCTATTGCAGGATGCACTGTGGCCATTCCTGTTGAACATGCACTCACCAGTCCGGGTGGGGAGGTCACAAAGATGTGGGCGTCAGAGGGACAGGACCAGACAATATGGCAAGCTCGGATGAAAACCTCTGCAGGAGAAAGGAAATGCGAGCAAATATAGACTCTGCCTCCTACGTGAATTGTGTCAGAGGTGATGCTTCGAAGTCAGTGCCATCAGTACTCGCTGACCCAGGCAAAAGAAACATTACTGACATATTTTGTCACTGCTGGTAGGAGCTCAGTGAATGAGGTCAATGGCATTCTCGCAGCCAGATCTCACTGACAGGGATTAAAGAAACGTTAGGTGCTACTGGCTGACAAAGTTGCATGGACAGACAAGTTAGTTTAAATTATCGGATCCAAAATCCAGAGTTGAGACAGATATCATCATGAGCACATGGGTTCTTGAGAAGGTGTGCGACAGCTTTTCACTGGGTACCTGCTTTTTCACAGAAAAATACCAGTGATGTCTATGACACTCTGCCAAAAGCTGAGTGGGTTCTCAGCTGTGGAGATGGGATCCAGCTGGAAGGTTGCAATTTCACACCTTCTGGCCAACGCAGGATGTTTAATCTAATTTAAAGAAGAAACAATGTAGATTTATGCCCTTGAGACATGGCCCTGTAAAGAGAGGTCAGGTCCATGCAAGACAGAGGGGAAAAAAAATTATCTTCTTTTGGGGAAGCTTTGCTAAGGTAGCGTCATCTTTTTTGGTCTTTGCTCTGAGTTTGCAAAGTACCAGCTCAGGCTCTCGCTTTTCTCTTGGGGTACATCCTAAAGATCTGAAGTACCTTTGTCACCACGTACCTGAGTACTTTGGTAAGCTGTGGTGACACTTCCTGACCTAATGAGAAGTAGATGCCACACACGTGTGCATGCACACCTGTTTCTCATTTCTTCATGAAGTTTGTTAAGAGTAGAATAAGACCTTTGCTATTTAAGCCATCTCTGTTAGAATGGCCCTGCTTCCTCTGACTGCACTTTGTGTGGCCTGAAATGTTTTTCCAGCATCAAGGAAGCTGCTTGAGCGTGGCTGACTTTGGCTTGGAAGAGGGCAGCCCCGAGGTGTTTAACTGGGGCTCCTTACAGATGCTACGCTAGTGGGAGCTTGCAGCAGAGTGGAAAGGTTAGCTTTAGATCTAACCTTTCGTCTTTAGGGTAAAGTAGTGCTGAACTGTTGCTCCTTGCCCCGGGAAAGGAGTGAGCCAGCTAGCCTGCAAGTTCCTTTTAGGAATCGTGGATACACAGTCTAATATATTCTGACAGGTTTGAGCAAAGAATGACATCAGTGCTCATTTTGTTTTGAACTGTATGATAAGGAACTTGTTCCAGGAGAAATAATGTTTCTCTGACCTCAGACAAATTAAGCTTTTTTTAAAAAAATAAATTTGGATGGTAAAAGACTGTAAGAGTCTAGAATATTTTTCTAAACTTCAGAGATTATAAATACTAGAGAAAAAAGTGGAAACACAAGTTTGAGGTTGTCACTTCTAGTGACTTCCAAACTCCCTTGAAAGTAATTTTGTAAGGGATTAGCAGAGGGGACATGTCCTGTTGCCCTGCATTAGGCTTTGACTGCCTCGGGTTCTTTTGAGTGAGTGGAAAAGGCATCTTGAATCCAAAGAAATACCATGGGGTTTAATAATCCCTGCACTAAAGCTGAAGTGCACTACTGAGGGTAGACGAACTTGACACAAACCCGCTGGAGTCTGGATCAGCAGGTGGTGGTGCAGGGCAGAGCTCAGCCGACAGGCAAGACTGAATCAGCACTTCCACTGCTTGTTACCCTTTGTGTCTGGGTGACTAAAGGTCCGGAAATTCAAAAGAGATCTGGAAGCATTTGAAATTCATAGGGCTGGGCAAGCTCAGCCAGACCCATGCTTTGCTGCATGGACTTACTGGCTGCTAGCTAAAGGATCTTGACACAAAATTCCCTTTTGTAGGGAATAGACATCTCTGTGGTTGTCTCTTGGTATTTTGAGGATCAAGACCTCTACGTCTCGTCATAGTCATTCTCAGATGACAAAGGCATAGGGTCAGAGCCTGTGCCTCTTACACAACAGGGCTCCAGTTTTGCCCCAGGAGACTAGATAAAGACCAAAAGATTGTAGTTTTAGCTAATCATTTGTACAACAGTCAGACCTCATGAACTTTCTAAATGTCATCAAGCTCACTGCAAACTTTCACATTATGAAAATGGCTTAACCTTTATTGTAGAACTTCTAGGAGAATAGAAATATAGAGAAAGTCAGTTTTCAGTGATTTTACCTTCTGTTCTATTTAATATTAATCAACGACTGATGCATGACAAGGAGGACTGTAAAAAGCGCAATGTTTTATGTAAAAGTATCCATTCTTTGCATGGCTTTTTGTTCATAGTCAAAAGAAATAATTACTACTACTTTTTTTTTCTCCTCCCCTTCTTTCTCTAAGGATCAATCTGCTTTGCAAACATGGCTATTGCTATGCTTGAACCAGCTTTACCCATCTGGATGATGGAGACCATGTGTTCAAAAAAATGGCAGCTTGGTAAAGTACAGTGTATTATTTGCATCTCTATATTTTGTCTAGTGACTGTCTCAGTTCCGGTCCTGTTAATGATGGTGTCCTTGTATGCTTCAGGGTAGTAATTTTTTTTACTATCTTTAAATTGTCAGTGTTACACCTGCACAATTGCAAACATTGGTCTGTAAGAAAAATAGGTAGTGGGCTGATGTTATCGCAATAGAGGCTTCAGTAAGGGGCAACACTCACATTGCAAGGAGAAATAGATGCAGGCAGCCACGGCACTGTACTTGTCCCGGCTCCTTTGGGAATGCCAGCAGCACATCTGGCAGTGAGTGTTGGCTGGGGCAGCTGCAAGATGCCCTGTGAGCCGCAGAGCCAGCCCAGCAGGACAAAACACTTTGTTCTGGGTTTTTCCCAGAGGGAATCCTTCCTCAGTTCCTAGTTTGAATTGCCAGGAGCAGGCAGCCACAGAAGTCTGCAGCAGGTGCAGTATGTTTGGTGCAGAGCGTGCCCATGCCAACACATGTTCCTTCCAGGACTGGTCCTGGCAACATGTGGAAGAAGGATGGACTTTTCTCAAAATGTAGTCACCAAGGGCATGAGGAGCATTTTCCCTTGAACCTGACAGATTTGACACTCTTTCAGTGGTTACTTAGTCATCCCATTCAACAGAAAGCAATGGGAGAGCCCCAGCTTGGACCACCTTATAACCTGTAACACAGTCTCAGGAAACCAGTGTCCACAGGCAAACTGGGAATTTGTCCCATGTATCAGGTTAGACTAGAGAGTAAAATTGGGGCAGTTACTTTCTCTTTGAGATGAACAAGGGGGAAAAAAAAAAAAAAAGAAAAGAAAAATGGAGGTTCTTCCAGTGAGTGTCGAACTGTGTGCGGGAGGTTGATGTGAATCATCTTGGGTGGGGGGTGCCTATCCATCATGTACCACTACACATAGTGCTGATCCGCTGTATCGATCTGACTGATGTTTACCGTTTTAACAGTTTGTAGGAAAGAGTTACTGTTACAAATGCAACATATATTTGATGATGTTAACAAGTGATCTGTATTCATTAGGGTATTTTTTAGTATCAATGTATGGCGCTTGAAAGAAAAAGAAAAATTCTTCATGAAAATTATGTTCGGCTAGCATGCAACTAATATCCCTACTCTATCTTAATGTAGGTGTCCCTGTGCCATAGAGAAAGCACAAACCTTAGTTGTTATTCATGCAAACCCAGATCTCGGGTGGCCATAGCTAGCAGTCCTTAATGTGCTGCTGTACTGTTGAACATGGTAATGACTGCTAGCCTGTAATATAGCAAAATTAATGCACAAACTTAGATATTTTAAATCTCAGGAAGAAAAACAAAGATTGCTTATCTACCTCCCTCACTGGAGTTTCATATTACTGGTGCAACGGATATGAGATTTACAAATGTTTTAGTTGAATAGAGGTTCCTAGAAGGAAAACATCCATTTTAAATTAAGACTAATTTTACCCCTTAATGATATAAGTAATTGACTCCATAACGCTTTGTCTGATTTGACAGCATTAATTAAAGTTTTTAAGCCTCTTAAATTATATCTTGAACTGCAGGGTTTTAAGCAAATTATTATCTGATGCACTTTGGAGATCCGGCTTTTTTAAGCATGATCTGAAGAAGGTATAAAACCCCTTGATTTGATCAATTAATGTTACTGTGCATAAAGTTTATTTAGAATATTATGGTTCTGCTTCAGTATACCACAGCTTACACAGCAACCTGCAAGTCTTATTTAAAAAGCCTTTGCGGTGTTTTTTTTACAGTTGTCAAGGTCTGCTATATGTGACCATTTGGTATAAAAAGATAACTCCAAGCAGTACCAAAGTAGCTGCAGTTACTCAGGTGAAAATATTTCCGGAGCATCACCATTGTAACCCACAAAGATTTTAATCACAGGATATTGCTGGGCTAAAAATTACTTCTCAGGTTTTTTTTCTTATGAATATCAGAGAGATAGGAAGGAAGATGGATAGGCAGGAAATGAGAAAATCTGTGTTGCCTTGGTGAAAGATGAGGAGCATATACACTTAAAGGAAATGGTTTGATTGTGTACCATAACGTCACGCTGGTTTCTAAATCTGAATTAGCTGATTTAACAATGACCAAATGGAAGGCTTGTCGTGGCATGCGCTAATTTGTCAGACTTTCCCGGTTTTGTCAGGTTTTCCAGTTGGTTTTGTTTTTCTTTTTTTCTTAAGAAGACGCAAAATATAACAGGAACAACAGAAAAATACTGTGTCTTATTTCTTCCAAGACCCATTCAGCTCCATTCCACAAGGATCCGGCACTAAGCACAGCCACCCCATTCCTCTGCCTCTGGGATATTTTTCATACAATGTCTTCTCCTCAAAGGCAGTCCCTGCTCTCACACACACCCGCATCGTCCTCCCTGGTGCTCTGCAGGCAGCCGAGGCAATGGCACACCACGCTCTTCGTTAGCATTTCCTCCTTTGACATTTCCCCTCCAGCTGGGTCCTGCCCCCGCGACTTACGTGTAGGAAGAGGATGAATCCTCAAGTACAGACTGTAATTGCCTTTTAAACCAGAGATATTTCTGGCTACCATGCAGCCAGCATCTGCTCCAGATACAGCTGCTGCTGTGGAAACCTCAGGACTAAAAAAAATTGCTGGTCCCAACAGTACATTTTTCCGAGTGGATGTGGGGGAGATGGGAGGGTCCAGGTACCCGCCCGTCAGGGTCAGAAGGGATTTACTCGGGTGCCCTCCTCCGCGAGTCATTACAGATAATTAGTTTTTTTAACTTAAACAAATAACTGTTTTTTTTAAAAGTTAACTTTTACTGTAAATATATTGGCTAAGTAATTTCAAAACCATGATTTTAAGGTTTCTTCACCTTTACGTTATTGATATGTGCTTGGCTTCAGTAGCTGCTTGACCAAGGACCATATTGCGGCATTACAAATGCGAGGCCTCACGGCATTCACAGGCGTGGAGGGGGACTCTGACCGTTCTGGGCTTGCTGCATATGCTGAGCATATGCTCCATAAGCCATGCAACCAAGAAAGAGTTGCTTTCCTTGACCTATCCCAAAGCTTATTGTAGTATAAACTTTCTGCTCTTTGTTGTTCCGTCCCCTCTTCTATACCACTTCTTGCAGCTGATGTTGAAAAACTCTTTTCAAAGGCATCACATCGCTCCTGCGTTTCATAGATGATGTTCTTAGATTTCATGAAAAGGCTGCAACAAACCGGATATTTGATTCTTTGGGCTATGCACAAAGACTCTATATTAGATGCGTTCAAATCAAAATTGCAGTGTCTGGAATTTATTAGTTTCTTCTAACACTTCACTAAAAGCATTGCTGATAAAACATCTCATTCGTATTTTTCAGGTGTTGCTTTTCTTCCAGCTAGTATCTCTTACCTCATTGGGACTAATCTTTTTGGGATACTTGCGCACAAAATGGGAAGGTATGCTTAATTTAAAAATACTAATAATCTTCCAAGCTGTTCATGTACCATTTCCAGTGTTTCCCAGGGCAGTTTATGGATGGTGGAAATTATTATTTGTTTGTTGGGGGGGGAGGGGGTGTTTGTTTTTTTGAACATGTTACTACTTTGGTTGTGTAACTCGGCACTTCAGACATGACTTTGAAACATTCGAGATCAGCTCTAACATCTTAGTATCACCAATCTCTGAGTGATGTTTCTTCTTTGATAGGTGGCTTTGTGCTTTACTCGGGATGCTAATCGTGGGAATAAGTATTTTATGTGTAAGTAGAAGGTCATGTATCTTTCAAACCGTCTAAATGTCCATGTGTTCATTTTCAAATATGTGCTTTCCCCATGAGATTTTGCTGAAGCTTCTGCTTTATATGTTATTAAATAATGTGTAGTTAATAGGTTCCAGATCAGAGTTTTGAGTGCTTTCAAATTTCAATGCTTCAATTATTTTGAAGGAAGACTGGCTCTAAAAGGAGGAGGATGATCCTTTTTTTGAGCTGTCACTCAACAGTTTATTCTTGCTCATAATAGTAAGTGTGTCAGTGGTTTAATGTCACAGTTGTCTTAAACAGTAGCCCAGAACAAGGATCAAACTCTAACTTGCACATCTGTACCAAGTGTGCCATAACTACTCTGAGAATTTATCTTAGAAAAAGAAAACTAACCTCATTAGCAAATGCAGTGTGACTTAATTGCCTGAAATTTCATTTATAGGTACCGTTTGCTAAAAACATTTATGGGCTCATAGCACCAAATTTTGGAGTCGGATTTGCCATTGGTAAGAAAAATTCCAATGACTTCTTACAGTTTGTTCGTTATGTAAAAATGATTTTATATGAAGTTACATGGAACATTTGTTTTGTTGCCATCCTGATCTGATAGTAGCGAAGCCTGACCTGTGGCCCAAACTGGTAGGTAGAGCAAGAAGGATTAAAGGACGGTGCTCAGGCAGTTTAAACCAGGCTGCTGTTAGACAAGCTGGATTCTGAAGTTTGTCCAGAATTGCTCCATCGACCTAAACAGATCTTTCAAACTGTCCATGAATATATACCTTGTTTTCAGGCATAAAGCAATGCACTGCCCAAAACCCAGTCTTCGCTGTTGTTCATAGCAAAAAACCCAAACCAGCCAGGCTTAAATTTTTGTTTATCGATAGGAATTCTCAAGCCCTCGTGCGTGTATTCCTTTTGAAGTAATATGTGTGAACTTTGCTTATGCTGGACCACTCAGTCAGGCTGGAGTGGGGGCCATGGCTTGGATTTTAGCGCTTGGCCGGTCAGCAAATGTTCTGGGGCATCTTCACGCATGAGGGATGTGTAGTTAGGAAAGAAGTTACAGGCACAACTACAAATCCCCAGTATCTCAGCAGTTTTGTCAGCTGTCTTGTGCTGTTTCTTGCTAGTCATGAAAGTGTGGCTCAAAAGACCTGTTAAATTCGCCGTAATAATTTTGATTGACTGGAGGCTAATGCAATCTTTTAGGCCTACCATAAGTGTAAGTTCATACAAAATAATTTTCCCCTAACTGAAAGGTACTTGGCTGGTAATGTGAGATGGGAGGCTTTGCACGGACAGTTACTGGGAAGTGGTTGATACACTCTGAGCTCACATCTCTCTTGTCCTCTGGCAAGTGTCCCTTGACCACATCTATACATGTCCATATGTGACCTCAGACACAGTAAAGACCTTAAAAAAGCACAGATAATACAGTCTATTTTAACACAAATCTTTTGCTTATTTAAGAATAAGCATCCTTTCAGTTGCTTTTGCATCCCTTTTTAGCACATAGTTGGCCAAGACATAAAAAGAAAAAAAAAGGCAGTATTTTCCTGAAATAAGTTTCCCTCCCTCACGACCAGGAATGGTGGACTCCTCCATGATGCCAATTATGGGCTACCTCGTAGATCTGCGTCATGTGTCAGTCTATGGCAGCGTGTACGCAATAGCTGATGTTGCCTTTTGCATGGGCTTTGCCATAGGTAAGTAAGTCCAACCTTTTCCTGCCTATAACGCACCTGACAGTTAAGAGAAATACGCTACGATGGTAGGTGTGAATCCCGGTGGCACTCGCAGGCTTTATGAGCTGGGGTGGTTATTTTCTACAAGAAATCCGAAGCAGAGGGAAAGGATGTGGGTAACTGTTTGGCATCTGTTCCCCTCCTCTGCCGCAATGCCGTGCTCACCTTCATTAGCTCTAAGAGGCTTGAAGGTGTCAGGCACTGAACACAAATAGGATATCCCTAGGAAAGAGGCCTTGGAACATTTAAAACTAACACCACAGCTGTGCTCCTAATAGTCTGCAACAGGAATAACTCCCCACTGACCCCCTGCCTCCTTGACTGCGTGATACAGATGCCCCTAGGAGCATCTCTAATTTCTTCAATGAATGTGGACTATGGAGCCAGGAAAGGTTTATGTTATAATTACAAACGTGTCTTTACATTCCTCAAATCAATTCGTAAAGTGGGAGTTTTGTATATAAAATTACTGTTGTTTAAAGTGACTGCTGCAAATTTTGTGTCTGAGTGATCTTCAGAAAAAGGTTTTTATTTATACAAGGTCCCTCTGCTGGTGGTGCCATTGCAAAGGCTATCGGATTTCCATGGCTCATGACAATTATAGGGATTGTGGATATCCTTTTCGCTCCCCTGTGCTTTTTCCTTCGAAGTCCACCTGCCAAAGAGGAGAAAATGGTAAGCATAGCATGGTTTCTTTCTTTTGTTTTTGGTTTTGGTTTTTTTTCAGTGAAACAAATGATAACTTAGTTCTGCATCTTTGCCTCTACCTTCCTCAAAATGGGACCAGCACAGTTTATTTCACCGTCATGCGTCATCTTTGGAATGAACTCCCCCTTCTTTTTATGTCCAAGATGTATAAAGAAAAGCTTTTTATTAGTTACATGTTACAAAGTCACAAATCTGATTATCACGAAATGGGGTCCAGCAGACATTCATCTGCAACAGCATATGCTGTGGTGGAGTCAGTATAAAAGGCATTTTTGTTTTCCTTGAAGTGCCAGAACTGTACTGACCAATTTTGTTTTATTCCTTTGTGTGCCTCAACCTGTTTTTTTTTCCATGGTCCTCTACGGTATATTTTGCATCATATTTTTTCCTCCTCCTTCTTCCTCCATACAGACCGCCTGCCCTTACAAATTAATGGCTTCTCTTATCCTATCTGTACCACAGGTCTTATCCTGACTATTTTTTAATATAACTTTGCCAATGACTTCATTTTCTAGAGCAGTCAGTGCTCCCCAGCTGCTGTATGGTGTGTAAGAAGAATGATGCTTGGCCAAATCAGCGTCTTGCCCAGTCCCCTGCAGCCCACAGTGGGTATCTAGGGACGAGTGTCAGAGCAGGTGAACGTGTTGTGATACATCCCTCAAATTAGGGGCTGAGAGACCTAAGTCAAAAGCAACACTGTGATTAGCAGCCTTTAACAGACTTTTTCCCCATTGATGTTCACATTTGCTCTCTGAGTAAATGTAAAAGTCTACTTTTCACAAGACCTGGAGTGAGGAGTTCCCCTGCTTACTCCATGAGTTCTGCCCCAGGACACCCATGAATGTGCCTGCAGGAATGTTTCACTCCTTCACTCCTGTTGCTCACTGTCTGCTTAGCCTGTCACCCAAAAAAAAAAAAAGATTCCTGCTTTGGTTGTGGTAGTCCTTTTCCTTCATTTCCCCTCCTATACCGTTCTCCTCTCTCCCTTCCTTTCCCATTTCTGTAGCTGAATTTGCCCTTTCATATAATGTCCTTTATCTGCTCCCCTACTCTGCTGTTTCAAGACTTGCTGTTCCTATAGATTTATGCTAGATCAGGTTCAAAAGCCCTCTTACTGCAGGAGGGGATCCATTGCTTTGCTCACTAGGTTTCCTCTGCTCAGCAAGAAGGTGGGAAGCTCCTGAAGGAATTACAAGGCAATGCAATTCCTGTTGTGATTCCAGGGCTGGGAAAGTCCTGGAAAGCAAGTACCAATCTGTGCTGCAACGTCTGTCACCATCTGTAGGTCTAGCCCACCCAGCACGTCATCCTTGCTCATACTGAACGAGGTTGACTTGGCCACAAAATGCAGTTGCTGTTTGTTTACCTGGGTGAAAGGAAAATATAGTTTTGCATGGCCATGGTCTTACTATGCAGCGCTACATCTCTGCAAGGTGAGGACGGAACCTGCTGCGCATGCTGCTCACGCTTTGTACTGGCATGAGCAGAGCAGAAGGTGGAAAAATGAATCTTGCTGAAATAGTGGCGTACGTGAGGCCAAAGACCTTTTGTTTTGCACATAGTTGGACTGCAGAATCCCAGAGATTCCAGTTAATTCCTTGTCATGACCTTTGCAGACTGCACTGAGTTTTTGCTTGGTTCTTTTTACACACTGACTAAGGCTGAGGAACAGAAAGGAGAAAAAAAAAAAAAGCTGCTGTTGTTTGCCAGAGATAGGAAGTTTATCGTGTGCTTCCCTGGTCACTGACAGGGTTTCACGTGTAACAAGGTAATCGCTGAAAGGACAGGATCTCTCCCCATGGCCTAAACACCTTCCACAGTGTCTGCCCCCCGCTTCCCCCAACATCGCTTTAAATGCCAAATGTCTCCTGTTCCCAAAGTGGCTTGTGTCAGTGAACTGATGTGCCATTTCTTTTGGGTTTGAAAAGAGTCAAAAGGAGGGGCCCTATTTTGTACTCTGCATAATTAATTAAAAAACAAATTTATCACACTCAACATGAAATAAGTTTACACAACTGCTCCGAGTACGGATTCTGATTGTCCTAGGAAAAATTCATCCTGAAGGATGTAATATTGTAGCTGGCCCTAACTATGGTAATTACTTCTAGCTTGGCATGGGTGTAAAGTCGCAGTATTTGGACCACCACCCTCAGCAGAGCCCAGTTATGCTGTTCTGGAGCTCCACAGAAAGGGGTGGGAAAAGCAAAGCTAGTAAGGGAGACTCGGCTTGAGGCAGGAGGACTCCCTTTGCTCGTTCATCCAGCTTTTAATAGATGGAGATTAAATATAGGAGAGGTAAGTTACTGTAACTGGAGAGCAGGTAGATGTATTTCAATTTAATACATGGGCTGAAATACTGGTTCTAGTAAGGTGATAGAAATTTGCTGGTGACATCTATATGGCCAAGATCCCACCTCACACAGACCTATGGACTTGATTTACTCTAATTGAAATCAGTTTGGGTTCTACTTTCAGGGAGGAGAGGCGAATCCCTGAATGGTAGATGCAGCAGGATGGCTGTATCGTGGAGTCAACCACAGACCTCAGCTGGATGCTAAGCAGAAATGCTAATATTCACACTTTGTTTTCTTTCAGGCAATACTCATGGATCACAACTGTCCTGTTAAAACAAAAATGTATACCCAGAACAACATTCAGTCCTACCCCATAGGTGATGAAGAAGAAGAATATGAAAGTGATGAATGACGTGAAAAGCCATATAATGTATTTTGGTGTACAAAATGCAGTGTTTCATGTGAAACATCTCATCCAGAAATAGATTTTAGTTGTACTGTACATTTAATAGTGAAATGGTCAAAAAACCAAAGACACGTTATTCATCACCCATGGTTATAAAGCAGACTGCTAACCGCCTTATAAGGGGGGGGAAAGCTTTTATAGAGGATTTGTATAGTGTTAATCTTTGTGTATTTAATTTTATTGAATATTACACTATATTTTTTATTAAATGTGTAGTATAAATCTGTATAAACATGTGAATTTTAACTTTGTTTTTTAAAGTCAATACATCAACACACAATATTTCATGTTTTGTTTGGAGTTGTAAGTTACTGGCAAGAGCTTGGGTCTTTCTTATCTAATTGGAAGGAAAAAAAAACAAACCACCAAAGCTTAAAGAACGCCTATCCAATCTGCCTCCTTTTAAATTGTACCCTTGCCAGTACATTGAGAGGAGCTGAAGGCTGGAATTCAGACTGTAGATATGGCTATGACTTTTTTGATCAACTTTAGATCATACATTAGTAAAATAAAAGGCACAACTTCTTTGCCAATTTCAAAAATGAGCTCTACCTGAACCGCTCATGGAGTGTTGGGGAAAACAGTATTTTAAATGGATGAGTGTATTGCTATGAGTCAGTACTATTTAATGAAGTTTTAATTAGCTAACCAGTTGTGCAATATGAAGCCCCCAAACCACCACACACCACCAGGTAAACAAGCAGGTATGAATGTGCCCTGTTCCTTTCCCGTAAAGGGAATAAGAACAGCATGAAGATAGTTTTTATATTTCTACCTTTTGAATCTTTTATTCTTAACATATCTCAATTTTATTTTAGATGCATCTTAAGTGACTGGTTAAGAAAAGCAGCAGTATCACAGTATTTAGTCTTTGTATGTATTGAAAGTAAGCTGGTAACTTAAGCAGTTCAAAGAAAAAAACCTATTTTACATGCATATTTTGCATACACATCTAGAAATTCTATATGTATTTATTTTTCAAAAAATGAAGTTAAAGTATCAACTTCGCTAACAATAATGAAAAAAAAAAGACCAGTTTGTTGCCAATATCTCTTAACATTTGGGGGCAGAGTCTAATACAGGAAAAGCACTGTGCTAGGCCGTCCCTATCTGCACTGAGAAAAATCAGAAGATTTAAAGAAAGCGTTTTAAAACAATGCCAATGTCCGTATCAACCGTGGTGTATCTTTTCATTTGTAAAATTAAAATCTTTATGTGCCTTCTTTCATGTAATTGCAGATGTTTTATGTACTACAGCATAGATACAATATTTACATATAGTTTTGTAAAGTGTATATACTATGGTCAGAAAATATGACAAATATAGTGGATCAAACTTCAAGTATCGCTTTGTCAATAACTATGCGTTCAGACCGCATTAAAATAAAGTTATCTAAAAGAAGTTCATGATCTATTGTAATAAGGCAAAAATAATAATAATAAAAAAATCCCCCTCACCATTTGCTTTATGCATTGTGGTTTACTGTATACTGGGGGCGGGGAAAGCCAACAAATATTAATGAGGGAAAGCACTCCTCATTTCTAGTCCATTTGTAATTGAGGACAAATATTTTCACTCCAGGTCATAAATACAGGCAACTTGTTTTGGTAACTGCGATGCTTCCAATACCAGTCCGTTATATGGCTGCTGGTCTAAGATTTAACTTTTGGGAAGCAGATAAGGCCAAAATGTGCAGTACCAGGGCACACCCCTGTAGATGCTGCCAGAACAGGGGGTTTAAGGAAGGGTGAAGAGTCTGAGAAAACATCGTAAGGCGCTTAAAGGCTGTGAAACACCAAGCAATATCGCCTTGTGGCTGATTTGAAAAATCCACTTACAGATTTTATAGTGGTGTATTTTCTGTTGCATTCTTTTGAGTATGTAACAGATGGAAATCCTTCCTTCAAAGCTGAGAGGTGTTTGGAGACAGACATTAATACAGCATAAACCAAGATTCTGCAGTACGTTGAGTACTTCATTGCCACTGAGTAAGTGACAATTGTGCAGATCGATGATTATTTACATTAGGCTCAGATTTTAATAGTGTAGATCATGCCCCAAGAGAAGTTATTTTACTTAGCTTCACTGCACTCTTTTGGTCAACATCAAATTGTTAATCCAACTAAATTTGAAGCTAATATATCAATGTTAGACTTCTAAATTATCACACAACATGTCCATTTATTTGCCAGCTGATTAACCAATGTATTGCTTAAATTCACAAGTGTAAAAGTAATGCAAACATAGCAACTTATATATCAAAAAAAAAAGCATAGAATAGCTTACTTCATGGCTTTGTTTTGTACTTTTGAGCAGATCAAAATTAAGGAAGAGTTCACATTAATCTGCAACACAAATTAGGACTGATGAATTGATCGCATTCCTCTTCTGCAGGTGGAACCAGGTTTCTACTGGGGCCTTACAGAGCAGCATCTTACCCCGGTTTGCTCAGTAGACCCACAGAGCTCAGTCTGGCTCCCCCATGCTCTTGCTCTGCTGCTGGTCTACCAGAAGTTAGAGGAAGAGAGAGTTAAGTGCCATGCAGACACCCACGTTTGGGCTCTCTACGCCACCTTTTCCTCCAAAAAAGACTTCGAGCAGTTGTTCTGTATTTCGGATTTTCTGTGCTGTGGAGGAGTAAGTAATCAAACACAAACCCTTTTTGCTGACAGTCAGGAAGTAATTTTAGTCACAGAAAATAAACCAAAAAAATCTCGGTTCTTTCATATTTTGTATATTTTTATCTGTGTCCCTTTAAGTGTGATAAAGTCCACTTATTTCAGTTGCTCCCACACCTTAGCTCTCCCTTGTAGTTATAAACTTCCATGCATGTTTTATTTCAAATTTGAGAGGAAAACACCCAAGGATAAGGAATTACAAGGAAAAACTGATTAGATAAAAATGAGCTAGTAAACCAGTACGGATTTGTTTAGTTATCCATTAACATCTTCTGAAGGACAGGGCAAGTCAGAAGACTTTTTCTTGGACCATTTGTTCCCCTAACATAACTCTGGTGGTAGTCGCTATCACCAATAACTGAATGGCAATATTACTGGAGCAGTGCTTGGAGGTCTTAAAAACAACCCACAATCATCTTTAGCATTTTATGATTCTCTAGGTACAGGAAGAATCAACTGGAATCACCATTTTGAAAGAAATCTACATCTATTAACATGTGTAGAATAAAAATAAATGCACCCTAACATAACTCTGGTGGTAGTCGCTATCACCAATAACTGAATGGCAATATTACTGGAGCAGTGCTTGGAGGTCTTAAAAACAACCCACAATCATCTTTAGCATTTTATGATTCTCTAGGTACAGGAAGAATCAACTGGAATCACCATTTTGAAAGAAATCTACATCTATTAACATGTGTAGAATAAAAATAAATGCACAAATAGAAAAATAAATGCACATGCAAATAGAAAATATGCATAAAAGCCCAGCATTAGTCCAGCAATCAGTAGTTTTATTTAATGCAAAACATGTGTTTTTCTCCCAAAGATCTTTCCTTTAAGTAGTGCCTCTAGATGATAAACTACTGCAATACAAATGTTTAAAAAAATATTAACACAATGCGAAGAAGTTGATAATTTAGCAAAACTATTTTATTAAAGCTTATTCTCATGATAAAATAATAGCCAACAAAATCATATTAGGCAGATCTTCTGCAAATGTGTGTAGCTGCCACCTATTCAGATATCATTAAGTCAAGATATTCTTGTTTTCTGTGGTATTCTTTATTTCCAGCTATTTACAGTTAAGCATGAAGCAAAGATTACATCAGGAATGTAATATTACAATTTTACCCTCGAGATTCACCGCTTACTGTAATTAATGCCAGACAGGAATTTATGTTTTCCTTCTTATCACTAAAATACAACTATTTTGCCCTTTTCCCATTCGGCATATTTAAAAATATTGCACTATGTTTAATTTCTCTCTTACAGTCATCATTAGCAATACTATATGAGGACAACTATATCCAGCTTTTCTTACCCACTGTATTATACCAGTCAATTTAAAACCTCAAATGCCTTTTTTAAATCAGTATTTGCATTGTTTTCACAGCTCCTTCATGTGTACCAGGGTTTAAATGAAGTACTTGGATATATTTAAAAACCTCTATAGTAGTCTGTAAGAGCAAACACTGATGGAGATTGAATGCAGATCACCACCAATGGTAAGCCACTGAGAAAATGGAGTGGGGGAAGTCTTTATATGCATCTCAAGCAAGTATAAGTTAAATAACTTTTAGTCAATAAGGGAAGCTAATTTTGTGCGATTATTTACTGAAGCTTAATTTCAGAAGTGTGTCACATGCCTATTTTAGCATGGATAGTGTTTTCCATACATCAACTAAGTAAGTAAGTATCAACTGCCCAGAACTCACAAAAAAGTGCAAATAGTTGCATGAGTGAAGTAACCGTTTTGTTCAGAAGTACAAGTATGCTTTTCCATCTGTGAAAACCATTGCTTCTTAATTTTGCCCATCACAAAATAAACTGAGAAGCAAATTTAATGGAGAGGTCCATCAGAGACTGCCTGAAAATTTAAGTAAGTTATTTTACCATCTTAGATTCAACTCCATTTCCACAAAGGCATTTTTTTCTACTACCAGTGATAATACCACCAGTACCTAAGACAGTACCTAAAATAAAGATGATATTTTATACGGCATTTCTATACACAGAAGATGAAACAAAGACATGTTTACAGGAAATAAATAAGAACAACGGCCTTAGCCAGGTGATGCTAAGATCCACAGTTTACACATAGCACAAGATCAGATAGTTCCTTTCAAAAGCTGCTGGCTGAAATTCTTCCTCATCTCTACTGGACTCACTTATTTTGACTCAAATAAAACATGTTATATACACTACAGGACATTTTTCTGGCAAAGGTGATCCTTCTGCTCAGACTGTCTCTTCTGTCTGAGAAGCTGAATGCAACTTACCACTATAAGATTACTCAAAAGTGTTGAGAGAGAACACATTTAGCTATTTTTTGTAAAGTATTTTGTACCTCAAGCTTTCTGAAACGGTAAGATAAAGGCTGCAGCAAAATTTTTTTTTTTTTTTTTTATTTACTTAAACTGTCATTACATGCTTTTTCATAGAATGTAATGAAACCTCCAACTCTTGAGAAGAACAATTTTCCTTTATCAGGTCATCAGATAATACAATAACACTTAAATATATAATTTTGTTCTGGAAGGCAACCAGCCTCTTATCTCACAAATATTCCCAATTAAATTATTATGAGATACCGGTATGTACTTTGATAACTAATATTATTCAATCAGGATACAATAGCCCAAAGTTCTAAGGAGGCTTTTTTTTTAGCATAGCATTACTATATTTCATGTTAATTTCAAACTATGAAAAGTTCTTGTATTTAACAAAAATATGGGAAAAATTATATGCAATGTTAACTTTAGTAAATATTAACAACAGACAAAATGAAAGACCTCTTGTTTGCTTTCATGATATGTTTGGCGAAAAATACACAACTACCTAGAAGACGTACAATAACTGTGATCAACATTTCAAAGCCTGGTCCCTCGGTGACTTCTCTGTCAGTCATCAGCTTAGGCATGCAACAAGCTTGTAATTTTTTCACCATACAATGGAAACTAAACATTTTGAAAATCCTGCCAGTTTCCTGTTGAAAACACCAGCTCAAAAAAAGAAGGGGGGGGGGGAGTATAAGGACACCACACACGTTAATGTGAAATGGTAAGGTTACATAATTAGAAAAAAATAAAAATAAGTTATTAAAAATAAATTTCCAATATAAACCCCAAAATCGAGTTTTAACCAGCCAGTTTAACAACATGATGGTGCTGTAGCTGGAGAAGAACCATTATTAGCTGTACTCTTACATAGGCAAATAACTGTGGAGAAGCAGGACATTATACCAGTGTTTTAATTTAGTTTGTGTGTGTTTGCAATTAAGTGCAAAGTATTCTTTTAGTCCATTCCTTCAAAGGCTAAATATGTAAATATCAGTCTACTGATTGAGGTGGATCAACTGGTTCTTCCGATATGATGTTGAATGTTGGCGCCTCCGTCAGACTGACATCTTCATTATCCATTTCTTCTGCTATATTGGGTTCCTCTGAATCTTTAGTCACTCTTTTGGACTGCCGCTCTAACGACATGTTCTCCAAAGACTCTATATCCTCAATGCCTGCTCTGTAGTGGATCATCAGCAGCGTAAGGGCCTGCAGTCTTTCACCTGACTTAGCCAGCGCAGCAGAAATCAAGGCTTTTTTCCTTGCATCAGTTGTCTCTTTTTCTTCTTTAACGAGTGAATTATTATTTTCCAGCTCCTGGTCTATTTCATTCTGCAGCTTATCCAGCATAAATTCTAATTTCTGAAAACGCTCCTCTGTGGGTAAACTTCTGTAGAGATCACGTCCAATTTCTTTAACGGCAATGAAGACACTGTCATCTAGACCACCCTCCTTTCGGACCAACTTTATCCCAGTACCTGCTGCACGTTTTGAAGGACTGCTTGGCCCACTGATTTCAGTATCGCTACTTTCATTATCAGAAGTGTTTGGTGTGTGCTTTGGCGAAGGTTCTACCACCTCTGTTCCTTGCTCAGAAAGGCGAGCTTTGGGGACTTGACGAAGGTTTAACAAACGGGTGCTTGTATTGATGATATGCCTGGTCAAACCTGTAGTTCTGTTAACAGATTTAGATTCTGAATCAACACGAGAGGATGCAGCTTGGGGAGCTTCCTGTCCTTCTGCTCTACAACCTCCCACAGTTCGATCAAGTCGCTTTTCAGCTCCTACACAAAAGGGCATCTCAGTTAGACATTTTTCTTGACATTTTTTATGGCAAACATAAGCACAGAGCATGCACTGCGAAGCCGCTTTAGTCCATACTTTCTTTTTGCAGTAATCACACCAAGTCGGATTCTGAAACTGAGTATCTTGAAAGTTATGCTTGTTCTCCGTAAGAACAACGTGTCCCAAGTAAGGATCCTCTTTCTGAAGTGCACGAGCTTCTTCTTCCAAGTGACATTCCCTTTCTTTCTCCAAGAGAAAGTTTGAATCATCTATTTCACCTTCTTTTAAATATTTGAAGTGTAAAGTTACATCGCCATAACAAAATTTTTCATTGAATCCCTTATGGGTTGTCAAATTCCGCAATGCTGTTCTAGTGACTGCTGCTTTAGGTGTAGGAGCATCCAGTTTAAATGTTCTAATATATTCCATTGAGGATGTAGCTATGCAATCTAAAGCAATTTCTTCAAGTTTTATGCTTGCATATCCTAAGCAGATAAAACCACCTGCTTTGAAAGGGTCTCTGCACCACAGTGCAACATTAAGGTACTTATGGTATCCTTCCACTTCAAATAGACAGGAGGATGTTCTTGTCCTTGGCCATCGGCCTTGCCGGATTTTATAAGGAATTTCTGGCGATTCCCATGTTTGATGATCATCTCCACTATCTTTGTAACTACGTGCATTTTCTGAAAGTCCATCTTTTAATATATCTTGTTTTGGTGCTGTTATTACTTTTGATACCGTTGGGTCTTCTATTTGATCATTATTCTTTACTACCTTCTCTGTATATTTATCTCCATTATTTGTAGGTGGAGGTGGCCTCTCTGGTTTTTCAGAAGATACACCTCCAGTTTCTAACAGATTTTGAGTTTCACTAGTAGGCAAAATAGGCTTGCTTTGTGGCCTAGGTGGCACAGGAGGCTTAGTACTGGATCCTTGTGATTGTTTACCTGATTGCTGTGATGCATCTGAACCCTCAATAGTTTTGGGTGTTGCCACTTTAGCTCCATCTTTTTGTTGTGTTTTTGATGTTGTCTGGTAACTTCCTAAATGTAGTTTTCGATTCAGAATCGGAGATATAGTTCCAAGTGGTTTAGCAGCAAGTATTACTACTGAACGTTTGGGACTCGGAGTTGTTGGCAAATCTTCTTTTTGGTCAGGTGATTCACAAGCTAAGTCCTCAAATTCTGAATCAAAATCTCTGTTATCAACATCAGCTGATAAACTAGCTTGGTCATCTTCTGGCTGTGTCAAGAAAGCAGCGTCTTCCAATTGTCCAAATCCATCCTGCAGTGCTGAACCATGCTGATTATACCCCACAGGCCTTTCATAAAAGACTAAAACTCTGTCCCCAGCCTGTCTAATAAGCTTCAACACTTGGACAGTTGATGTGATTTTAACACCTATTAAAAAAAAGACAAAAATTATTAAATTTTAACAACAATCTAAATGGCCAAAAATAGTCGACAAACATGGTTAGGTCTTTAATAGTGGTAATAATACTGTTGCTCACTAACAGAGGAAGTCAATTATGACAGAAGAGCTTAATTGAAATGTAACAGAAAGATCCTTTCCATTTTATTCATACAAATATATCACTTCAGGAGCTGGAAAAGATACTAACAAATACTCCAGTTTGCTGTTTGTTACTAATGCTGTAATCTTATAGAGTAATGTTCATTTTATATGCTAACATTTTTAACCTTGGTCTTACTGTAAGTTTGGACTTTTCAGCAGCAGGCATTTAACAAAGGATTCAAAAGAGATGGGTATCTTTAAATACAGTTTTAATTAAAACAGAAGCAGGCTAACAAAGAAAATAGTTCCAATATGTTAAGAAAATATAGGCACAATGCTACATTCTCAGTGTGGCTGAACAGTGAACTGAATCATCTTCCTCATCAGAGCTTTCAGAGCCATTTGACAGTATCTCCAGCCTATGGTAAGATTCAACAAATTACGTGCAAACTAAGTATCTTAATGAGCACACAGTCCAAATAAAGTCATGCAGGGGGTCATGTAAAAATGACTTGTCCCTTGTTCTAGAGCAATCAATTACCTGTTTGAAGCAACTCAAAACCCTTTTAAAAATCACTGGAGCAATGCAATGGGGATTTAGGCAGTACCTAATCACAATAACTCATTGTAGTCGTTAAGCTCTGGTCTTTAAAACCTCTCAGGTAACAACCTAAAAAAAATAATATTAATGCAACTGTGCTAGCAGGGACTTTAAGCAGTTCATGTCATAAGCGTATAAAGTTCTATCTTCATAGTATTTTACTACACTAACTCTTCTATAGTACCTTAATGACTTAGCAGAACCAAATGTAAAATCACTTTACCCTCTTATTTATATAGTTAGTGTTTGGAGAAGACATGTGTGTGCTGTCATACGCAGGGATATCTGGGATACTATATATAGCTCAATTATGCAGCTCTTTCTGCATTTCTTTCTCTACCGATGACATGATGGAAGTAATCTCCAAATTCACAATACGACCCTAACAGAACTTCTTTTACCATTTTTCCCCTAGAGTGATTTCAGTTTACATTCTATTTTATCAGTGGTACCTACACTTACTTCTAAAATGTTATTAATATACAGCGATATTCCCACTCCTTTTTAGTCTTTATAAATCCCTGGACAGTATACAAACCCCAACAACTTTAAAACTAAGCTACTTATGATTCCTACTCCATCATGTTTTATTTAGTCCCACAACATCCAATAGAATAGAAAACATTGCATTATTTCTTAATGATCATAAACAGGTTCCTATCTGCTTCTTCCACTACGCTGATTAGCCACTGTTCCTGTTAATGTTTTATTTGTCCTTCTGTCCACTACCATATTCTATAGGTCCCCTCCAATTCTCAAGTTTAAAGCAGTAAGATTTCCAGTATCAGTTTCTGATTATGATTTATGATTATGATCTAGTTGTCCGTTGGTGACAGGGTCCATATAAAACAGAAGTATTCAAGCTATATCTGGAGATGGTCTAATTTAAAAACTAATATAAACTAGTAACAATCCACTTCATAATGCTCAGGGATTTCAATGGAATCCTTATAAAAAAACCACAGTGCTCTCCCCCACAAAAGTCAAGGGTTACTTTTTGCCTCAATGCAGCACTTACCTGCCAGTTACAATTTGGCCAAAGTCTTCAAATATGAGACCTTCAGAGTAGATTTCTAAATAATACTTAGGCTCCTACATGTCAGAGCTGACAAAATTGATACTGAAAGTATAAAAATACTATCAAATACTCAGCAGATCTTCTTGGGTCATTTTGACATTTCAGACAATTACTCTATTAGTCAAAAATACATTTATACTACTTGTTCCATAGTCTATTTATTACCTTTAGGTTCAAAGTTCAGTATGCAGGCCTAGGATGTAAAGTGTTATGGTCTTCTTTGTAAACAAAGCACATTTTATAACATCACTGGAAGAAACTAAGTAGAGAACCTCACAGCATCACTATTAGAGCAGTTAAAATATATTTACATTCAAATGCTTATTCAACTTTATTTTGGCTTTTACCTAGCAAAGAGTAAATAAATATTCAAGAAAACGAGTTAAGTGAAAGATAACCTTAAATGGCCGTAAATATGTAAATGTTAGTTTTTATTATGAGTGCCAGGCATAACTGACAGTTGAGAAAGGCAGTCTAGTTGAACTGTATGCAGACATGTCCTCCCAGTTTGCAAGACCACACTTATTCTGAAAGCTGACATAATACTCACTGCCAATTGCTAGAAGTCTGTCTCCCCTCTGTAGATCAGCAGCTGCAGCAGGTGAGTTTGGAGTCACAGTTTCAATGACAACATGCCCTGCATCTTCTTCCTTGGACTGCACAAGGCGGAGAGTGAGCCCAACACTTTGCAGATTCCCTTTCACTAGTTCTGCCTACAGAGAAAGAGGTTAAGAGTATGTCAGTTAAGCTGACTGCAAGGATTCATGGTTACTAATGATCATTTAAATAAAATTATACAACTGATATTATTAAAAAAAGATTACATTAGGACATCCATTCACTTCATTAAGCAGATTATCACGTAATAGATTAACTGTCTGCCAATCTAGTTTACACCTTTGGAGAAAGATGGAACCAAGTGTCACCAGTTCTGAAGAGCCAATTATGCCAAAACCAGAGAGCAGTGCAAGGAATTGTCAGCAAAATAAATATATATATATATAAATAAGTATATGAGTGTACACATCTGTTCAATAGTTTATATACAATTAATAACAATACTGAGCTAACCTATGCAAATACAAATCAGCAGGAAAGGCAATATGTGGCTCATCTTTGCAAAAAGCCCCAGTTTAACAAAGCTACAACTAAACACAACCTCATCATCTATTTTATTGGGAAGAAGTTTTGTTAAAAAGGAGCACTGTACCATCAATCTAGGTATCACTTTCAATATAACACATTTGTGTTATAAAATCCATTACTACAAGTAGCTGTTCAGTAGTCTATACAAAAAGGTGTTTGGAGTGAGAAAACTATTATATGCTTATACATTGCTAAAGCATATTTAGAACAAATCGAAATTAACAACAGTCTAAGAAGTTTCTTCAAAGACTCAAAACCCTTTCATTTATCTTGCAAGATAAATACAAGATAAAATTTAACTCAATCTCAAATATCTTATTCTTAAAAAAAAAAAAAAGACTGAGGTGCAATTTCTGTAGTAGAGTTTCATCCCATACTCACGCACAGATCTCATAATTTGGAAGTCCCTGTTGAAGAATACATCTAGGTAGTGGTGAATTGTTTACAGACCTCAGTGTCTGGAGGTCTTTGGCAACTTTTTTCCTAAAGACTGTCCTTAATGAATTTAAAAATATACTTTTTTTTTTCCCTAAAGGACTGTTTCAAATGACTGTCTACTATCATTCCACCAAAGTATATTCTATCTATTTGAAAGGGGAACTCATAGCCTATGTTTCAGCTCCAGGGACAGAAATTTAATTTGCTTTTTTGAGTCCCAAGAACAGAGAGACAGACATTGTTTGTAGAAAACCTCCATAGGAAATCTTCTATTTGGTTTCAATTTACTGAGTTTAGGTAGACAGTCTTCTCCTCCATCCTTCTGCATTTACTTTGTTGCTATTCAACTGTCGATGTTTGAACTGTCTGGAGTTGATCCTCCTCTTTTGAGGATGTGTTCGTTTGCTTAGTTTTGTACAATGGCTTTCCACAGATGAAGTGGATTACTTCAGTACATGACTCGCCTTGGCTGCATGGCTTTCACTCCTTTCCTATAATCTTAATAGCACCACATCTTGTTTTTTTGTTAATTGTTGTTTGGTTCTTTATAGAAATAAAAATGCTACACTACTTAACAGTTTGCTTAAGAACAGCATTGAGTTTGAAGAAGCAGACTTGCATTAACTTTATAAGCTTTGTTCTTAATTTTCCACATTTCTCACACTCACTTCAACATAATATTTTCTCTCAAACTTTGTTAACATCTATTGTGAATACCCAGTAACGTATGTAAGAATAACAAGACCAAATACAAGCTTAATTGCAGTTCAAGATTCAAGGTTCTTCTATAATACAAACAAGTAAATAGTTGCCTACAGAAACAACTGTGGTAAGGGGGGGTTTTTTGTTTGTTTTGGGTTTTTTTGTGTTTTTTTTTTTTTTAATTAAGGCCATTGCCATTTACACCAAAGAAACTCTGACACATAATTAAATTAAAAAGAAAAACTCTTAACTGTTAAGAAACAGAGAAAAGTATTAAAAATACCTGTGGAAGAGAAACTTTTTTAAAGAAAAAAATTACTCTTCTGCTTTAGTCCTTTATTTATATATAATATGGCTTTAAGTTAGCAATTCACAAATGTTGCACATGCTGTACGGAAACAAGATGAACAATTACTACAATTTCAAACAACCCTAGTTGAATATTTTAACTGTCAAACACAGAAGTCACATGAATTTGCTGTGGCAGCATACAAACCTGCAACAAAAACTCCTTCTAAAAAAATCACTCCTCTACACTATGTAGCTCTGCATATTATCATCAAACAACAAGGAGACCATTATTTCTGAGAGCTGCCAGAGTCTAAGTACTCAAATCTCAATTTTCCTATGATGGTTCCTTTGAAAGTCTTGCTCTAAATGATTAAGGTTGGAAAAAGATTTCCAAATCCTTGTGTTTGAATAGATAACAAAACTATCATAACGAAGATCAGAAAGTAAACTCCCACTTAAGGAACGTTGACAAACATGAATATTACAAAGGACTGAAAAGCAAACTATAACTATTTTTTTCCCCTAACTTTTGTTAGTCCACTAAAGTATAAATGTCTTTAGTGAGAGAATTTCAGGGAAGAAATGGACGCTTAGACAGAATGGTGGAGGAAAAAAAA